CTGTGTTCATATTGATATTTTCATTTCTAAGTCAGATTTTTGCAATAGAACTATAAAAATACAATGTTGAAAAAAAACTTTTAAAATTAATTCCCATTGAAATATCCAGATGTTTTATTCCTTGAAGCATATGTGAAATGGACAAAATTAGTTTAGTGTTCAGAACAAACCCAAATAACATGTAGAACATTTTATTTTTATTTTATTTTATTTTTGTTATTTTTATTTGTTATTTAATTTTATTTAATTTTATTTAATTTAATTTTATTTTTATTTTAATATATTATTTTATATTATTTTATTTTATTTTATTTTTGTTATTTTTATTTTTAATTTAATAACTTTCAATCCTTGGTAAAATAATATTTATCAAAACATCTAATAGGGTTGATCTCAGTAATTCTGCTTAGATGTGCATAGATGAGCAAATAAATTCAATTCAGAGACCTTAAATCTTGGTGCTAAAGACAGATAAAGCAATTCTTCACTTCAATTAAAGCCTTAACATCTGTTCTTCTGTTTCAGTCTAATCAGGTAATAAACCGAACTTTACTCCATGGATGGTGCATTAATAAACATACTGTACTTTTCCTTCAAATGAGTAAAATGTTCATTTTAATAACTGTTTTCTGTTTTTCGGTTTGCAAATGTGCAGTCGTCCTGTTAGTGAAGACTTTCCGTCATTTCCTTACAATGATCCTGATACTCAGTGTTTGTTTGTAAAGTCTCTTCATCATCAGTGCTGTTTATATGATTATCCCGATGGATTAATATAATAAATAATCACGAGTGTCGATGGACAAAATGTTCCCATCAGCGGCAGAGCGCTTTAAGATGCTGTTGTTTATGATCACATTTATTTGATGTTCTTGTCCTTCACATGAAGTTTTCTAGATTTGAGTTGTTAGTCCTTGATTAAATTTCAGCAGTGGCTTCCTAAAATTAGTCAGTGTCATTGTTCTTTTTCTAAGCTAAGTGTTTGAAACTAAACTAAACATTGATGATAATGAATTTATAGGTTTCTGTTGTGTCGCTTTCCATCTTCTTCGTCTTTAATCTCCCTTTAACTTCCAGACAGACATCCTCCTTCAGGAAGTGACATCATTACTGGAAGGAACTCAGCAGCCAACAGTGTAGTTTAGTTTGCGTCTCTAAAACTGGCACAAATCAGTTTGATATCAATGTTTCACAATGAGCTTCAAGCTGATGTCCTCAGGTAAGAAAACTGTCCATCTCTCAGCCGACGACTTCAGCTCGTCATTTCTATCCTGTTCACTTTCTTGTCATTGTGTAAGAAAATGAGTAGAATTTAAGAGTCTAAGCCTGAGTGTTATTTTAGTGTCATTAATATAGTGCGATGGTTTTGAATTTATTTTATTTTTTATTTTTATTTTAATTTGTCCATTTATTTTTTTTAGTCTATTTATAATTTTTATTTCAGTTTTAGTTCAGTTATTTTCAGTTTTAATAGTTCAACTTAAACTGAATGGAAATTTGAAATGCTGCCTTGGCAACTGACTGAAATAGCATGTTACATGTTTTATATTTTATTTTATTTAACATTTATTTTATTTCATTTAACATAAATGTAATTTATATGTGTACATGTATGTATATATATATATATATATATATATTTAGTGTGAGTAAATTTTAAGAGCCTGAACTTGAGTGTCATTTTAGTATCATTAGTATAGTATGGTATTTCTTAATTTTTTAAATATATTTTTTATCTATTTTATTTAATTTTAGCTTAAGTTTTAGTACATTTTTGTGCTTGGATTTTTTTCTGATTTTATAATAATTATTATTATTATTATTTTTTTTTTTCAGTTCTAGTTTAGCTATGTTCAGCTTTAAGTTATTTTATTAATTCAACTTAATGAAAATGTTAAATGTTGCTTTGACAATTAACTGAAATAAAATGTTTTTTTAAATATTAACATTTTTTATTTCAATGAACAAATGTTTTTTTATATATATTATATAATTTTAGTGTTAGTAGAGTTTAAGATTGAGTGTTATCTTGGCATCATTAATATACTGTAGTATTATGGTATTAATTAATATTTTGAATTATGTTTTTATATTTTCTGTTTCCATTTTACTTTAAGTCTTTGTCATTTTATTCTGTTTTTTTTTTGTTTTGTTATTTTAAAAAAATAATATTTAGTTTTTATAATTTTTTATTTAGTAATTTTAGATTAGTTATTTTCAGATTTTTAGTAATTCAATTAACTAAACAGGAATGAGAAATGTGGCAACTAACTAAAATAAATTAATTTTAAAATATATTTTATTTTATTTTGTGTTTATTAATATTTATATTTAATGTTTTTAGATATATTTTATAGTTTTATTTAATGATAATAACCCTGATCAGAGCAGATGTTTTAAAGTACAGTTCAGGTTGTTAATCAGAGAGTTGAAGCGTTTCAGCCTCTTGTGTGTCTGTGTGTCTGTGTGTGTGTGTGTGTGTGTGTGTGTGTGTGTGTGTGTGTGAGTGAGTGTGTGTGTGT